AGTTCCACTGTGCTGTTCTTTTATATGGCTTTCCCTGAAATGACATTGCTTCCCTGCCCATACCTAATACTTCAGTCTTCAATCTTCCACAATGCCATCCAAACTGAGTTCCTTATTTCTATTTTAAAGACACAGTGGCCTGTGGAAGAAGAAAAAGGCCTCCCCACCCATCTCCGAGGAATGTATTTGTGTTCATTTCCCTCAAAATTACATATGGAGGCAAAAGCCCCTCCCCAGTTCCTGAATTAAAGTTTATTCCTAGAGCTGTGCTATACACAGTATGAAAGCATGTCCTCCACTGCTTCTCAGAAGAGGAGTGACACCACTCAGTGACATATTACAAGCATTACTTGGGGCAGATTCTACTGGTACTCTTATTGAGAGCCAGGGCTGGAATAGTATCTGGGAGACCCAGTTTCAAATCCCCACATGCCGTGAAAGCTTGCTGGGTAACTTTGGGCCAGTCGCGTACTCTCAGCCTAACCTATGTCATTGGGTTGTTGTGAGGAAAAAATGGAGGAGAGGAGAATGATGTAAGCCATTTTGGGTCCCCATTGGGGAGAAAGATGGGATATATCTTTTATCTTCCGTCTGCTGCAGAGCACTGAAATTAAAATAATGTTGGCTGGGAGCTGAGGTTCAGTCTTCTCCTTTTATTTCAGCTGCATGGCATGCTACGGGTCATCTTGGAACCTCTCATTGGTGATGTCCCAATTATAGGTGCGATCACGGTTTTCTTCATTCGTCGGCCGGTAAGTATTCCTCCAATTCCATACGGCTTCTCTAGAGAGAGGACTGAACTTCTCATCCTCACTGCTTCAGCCCAAACAGTCCCATTTTTATTTTGCTTTTCCCTTGTAATTTTACTGTCAAAGGTATGCACTTTCCAACAGTATTTGTGTGTCAGTAAATCAGCATTATATGTATAAAAATGGAAGACCTAAAAGGGCTGACTCACAAGGGAGGGAACACACATACCACAAATTCTGATGGCCTTCCTGTGGATTTTTTTATCCATGCGGGAGGGCCACTCATCACTATTAAATATGTGATGATATAGATGAAGTACATTATGCCTATAAATAACATAGAGATTGCATATGAAAAGCCAGACACAATACAAGCTACGCTTCACAACCAGTAGTGGAAATTGGACATGGACATAACCCATAGAAAAAGGACCATTCACCTCTTCTAGACTCTCTTCGTGACTAGCAAGTCTATCAAGTTGTATCACCCTGCACCTTAGTGTTTATTGTTTAATCTCCATCCTAGCTCAACCACTCATACACACCTCATGAATCCCATCTTTATTTTATAGATGAAGTACATTATGCCTATAAATAGCAGAGATTGCATATGAAAAGCCAGACATAATACAAGCTACGCTTCACAACCAGTAGTAGAAATTGGACATGAACATAACCCATAGAAAAAGGACCATTCACCTCTTCTAGACTCTCTTCGTGACTAGCAAGTCTATCAAGTTGTATCACCCTGCACCTTAGTGTTTATTGTTTAATCTCCATCCTAGCTCAACCACTCATACACACCTCATGAATCCCATCTTTATTTTTGCATGGCTTCATTCTCTGCTGGTATCCTAGGAAGCCTGAGACAGAAAGTGGGTTTAATCTGTCAGGTAGAGGTCTAGAAACAATGCTGAGTGCTGTGGGACACATTGTCCCGGCCAAGCCCCATCCATTCCCATCCCATGTGGTGTGGGATCCACACATCCTACTATTTGACTATTGTAATCATTCACATTTGGGAGGTAAATAATTACCATTACTCTGCTCTATCCTTGATTTTTTTAGTAGAATAACTACTATGCAAGGCTTGCAGAAGACAGGGCCAGTCTGCAGGTTTTCCATCTAAAGGAAGTCTGGCTGCATGAGCGTAGAATGCAGGGAAGGGTAAGGGGGAGGCGATCACTGCCTGGTTGAGAACTTGCTCTTATTAGCATGGGTTGTATAAGCGCCTCAGTTTGTCTAGCCATAGGTTTGGAGGAATGCTAAAGCCTATCTAGGCCTGCACCCTACATGGTGAGATCATCCCGTATCTTTCTGTCCCTCAGCCCCACACAATTCAGACCATGGAGTGTCAGGGAGCAAAATGCAAAGTTGTGTGCGTTTTTATTCCTTGGCTGCAAGGCCTTCAAGTAACTCTGAGAGGCCTCATGACAAGCAGATGTGAGACTGTGATCCAGAGAGGTCCTTATGCTCACATCCCCTCCCCTCAAGCTATTTGGTATTTCTGTGACTGATTCTAAAATGCACCTTCTTCTTTCCCAGACTCTGGACATCAACTGGACTGGATTTACCAACCTCTTGGACATCCCTGGGCTGAGGTAAATTGTTTACTTTGTAGTGGCTTCAGATTTGGGGAGGGGAGGTTTGCACAGCCAGGAGAGGAGAATGTACATAAATGGTTTCTTCTTCCATTCAATGGGTCCCCATTGGGGAGAAAGGTAAGATAGAAATGAAGTGAGTAAATAAGTAAGTAAATAAATAAATGATTGGTGCACTAAAGCAAGGCACCCTCTCTCAGCCTAACCTACCTCGCAGGGTTATTGTGAGGATAAAATGGAGGCGGTGGAGAATGATGTTGTAAGCTGCTTCTCTTCCATTGGGGAGAGAAGTGGGGTATAAATAGCTAAATAAAATAAATAAATATAAATTATGAGGGAATGGAGGCGTGTATGGTTGAAGCAGGCAGTTTCCTAGCGTGACATTTTTGTGCAGGCGTGCAGAAGACACTGAGGGAAATTGTAGGGGGCAGCGTGGCAGGTATGGAGGTGCTATGGTAAAATAGAAAGCTTTCTTCTGCAGCTCAGTTTCTGACACAATGATCATGGACTCCATTGCCTCTTTCTTGGTTCTGCCCAACCGCTTGCTCATCCCATTGATCCCTGACCTGCATGAAGCAGCTGAGCTCCGCTCTCCAGTGCCCAGGGTAAGACAGACTCCGCTGTGACATGTGTGTGTGTGTGTGTGTGTATAATTAGGTGCCTTCTCACTCTCCCCCTCTCCGTTGGGGGTCAGATTGTACTGTGACGCCATATAAGTTTCATGCTTCTTTGTATCCCATCTGTTTTTTCAAGATTTTTATATTTTATCTGTATGCTTAGATTAATGGGTTGTTTTTATGTTTTTTTGATGTAAAATGTTGTACACCTCTCTGAGCCCGCTCTGTGGGGAGAGCGGCATAAAAGTAGAAGTAGTAGTAATAGCAGCAGCTTCTGGATTTTTTTTTAAACTGTACTTGATCCACTTTCTCTGCTCTAGGGTGTTGTCCGTGTGCATCTGGTAGAGGCCAAAGACGTGCAGTCTAAGGATAAATACATCAAGGGGATGATTGAGGGCAAGTCAGATCCATATGCTGTGGTGCGTGTGGGTACCCAGGTCTTTACCAGCAAAGTCATTGATGAAGATCTCAGCCCCACATGGAATGAGATGTATGAGGTAATTAGCAACCCCCTTCCCCAGGGTAGCAACTTGAGTACAAATTAAGAGGATCTCGACCTCCATTCTGTCTTTTTCTCACGACTTAGCTTTTTCCTCTTCATACAACACAACAGCCATTCCTCTCCTTTTGCTGTTTGAAGAGGGCCATTCCAGCCTACACAGTAGGTGGTGTCTGCTCTGACCTCCCACCCCACTATCCCCACAGTTCATTGTACACGAGGTACCAGGACAGGAGCTGGAGGTGGAGCTGTTCGACAAGGACCCTGACCAGGATGACTTCTTGGGCAGGTGAGAGGCTAGATTCTGTTGCCAGCTCTGGCAGGAGAGTGAGGCCTATTTGAGGCTGGGTACCAGATCTTGAGAGCTGCGGTGGCTCAAGTGGTTAAGACTCTGAACTGCAGGCTGTGGAAGGTCAGTAGTTCAGCAGTTCAAGACCCGGGTTGCCGCATGACGGAGTGAGCTCCCGTCTCTGGTTCCAGCTCCTGCCAACCTAGCAGTTCAAAAGCAAGAAATTGCAAGTAGATAAATAGGTACCACTTCGGTGGGAAGGTAACAGCGTTCCGTGCGCCTTAGTGTTTAGTCATGCCGGCCACATGACCACGGAAACGTCTTCGGACAGCGCTGGCTCTTCGGCTTTGAAACTAAGATGAGCACCGCAACCCTAGAGTTGGACTCGACTGGCTTTCGAGCAAGGGAACCTTTACCTTTACCAGATCTTTGTTGTTTTTCTTCTGATGCTGAAAGGATTTTTGGAGGTAATGAGTGAGATGGGGCAATTAAGGCCTCAGTCTGGAAGTCAGTGACTTTGCCCTCAGCTCTGGAAATAGGATCTTCATGGAGAGGTGATATCTGATGGGACCTATGTAACTGGTGATCACTTAATCTGCAGCACCTTTGGTGCCACTGCTTGAATCACAAAGGACAGTGGATAAACCTCTATTCTTTCCTTTCCCAGGATGAAGCTGGACCTTGGGGAGGTGTTCAGGGCTCGTGTGCTGGAGGAGGTGAGCATGATGACATTCCCTGAGACAAGCAGCAGGTTGGCATTGGAGTTTGATTTTGTTGGCTGTAAGGAAGCAGGTTTGTAATATGTGGGAAACAATGAAGACTGGAGAGGGATGGCTTAGTGAAGATGTCTGGTGGTTCTTGAGGCCCTTGACCTCCATCTCTTCTCTTGAGAGCAGTGGTACGATGAAATAAAAATGGTGGTGGGAGTGTGAAGGGCAGAGAAGCTGTATCTCATGGTAGCAGAGAAGGCAAGTATGGAGATGGGCAGTATAATTAGAAGGAGATCCCATTGACTGTCAGTGTGAAGGGCCCTCGGATTCATTGACTGACCTCTGCTCCTGATTCTCAGACTTATTTACCTTCTTGACAGTGGTTCCCTCTGCAAGATGGTGGCCGGGCACGTGTGCATCTGCGCCTGGAGTGGCTGACGCTTATGTCAGATTCCTCCAAGCTCGATCAGGTAAGAATAACATGGATCTAATTTGGGATGGGGAAGTAATGCAGTTCAGGGATACCTCAAGTTGGCTTTGTTGGATCCTCAAATGAATGTTTAAAAAGCTACATTATATTGCATCATCCCACTGGTCCCTCCAGAATAAGATTGGCTTGTATCCAACCATTCACACAAAGAAGGCACATGGAGGGGGCCCCCCCATTCTTCTCTGTTCATCTGAAATCCCTTCTGACCCCTGAAAAGATCATTCTCAGGGTCACAGGACATGTGAAGAGGAAACGGAGGCAGTGTACATTGGAGGATTAAAGAAATTGCTCCCTCTCTTCAACAGAGCTGCTCTTGCAGAAGATGGAGGAGGAGCAGTTTCAGCCCCTTGTCCCTGCTCACTCCAGCCCCCTGGCCCATGTGGCTGCTCAGAACAGTTCCTATGACTCCATCAGTGATTGATGCAGTTGATCCAGGTGTTAGAAGGAGCTGCAGGAATGGAGAGGAATGTGAGAAAATTGTGTTCCCAGAGACTGAATGGTTGGGTGCAGCCCACTGTCTACTGTGACTGGCAGTGGCTCTGAGCCCAAGGTGTCAAGAGGGGTCTGTCTCAGCCTCCTTATAGAATATTCTATAGAGAGCCAGTTTGGTGTAGTGGTTAAGTGTGCGGACTCTAATCTGGGAGAACCGGGTTTGATTCCCCACTCCTCCACTTGCACCTGCTGATGTGACCTTGGGTCAGTCACAAGCTCTGGCACAGCTGTCCTTGAAAAAGAGCCGTTTGTGTCAGAGTTCTCTCAGCCCCACCCACCTCACAGGGTGGCTGTTGTGGGGAGGGGAAGGGAAAGGAGTTTGTAAGCCGCTCTGAGACTCCCAAGTGAAGGGCGGGGTATAAATCCAATCTCTTCTTCTTTTTAAGTTGAAGTGGCAAGTATTCTTGAGTGAGTGTAGCATTCACCACAGTCCCTCCTATAAGATGCCTCCTTAAAGGAGAGGTTACTCAAGGAAAGGCATTGTGGGAGGACTGGATGCTACATGGACTCAAGACCAAGGATGGCAAATTCAGTATCTGACCTGCATAGTGATTAAAGCAGGGGACCAGGTGTCCTGGTTCTATTCCTATGAGGACAGTAGACTTTAGTGGAAGACCAGGCTGGAAGACATTAGTTTAGGGAGCTAACTGAGGGCGTGTCAGTATTAAAGATGTTCCTCTGACCTGGTCGGAGTTCAGATGAGTTGAAAAGAGAGATGGGAAGAAGACATTTACAAGTATGGCATGGTGAAGTCTGTATCTCCCATTAAAGGCAAGGCTTGATCCTACAGGGTGACCAGCTAGGTGCTTTAGGAGAAAAAGTTTAGAGCTGACTAAATGCTACATTTCCTTCTTGCTTGTTGTTTGAAGGTTCTTCAGAGGAACAAAACTATCTCCTCCAAGCCAGAGCCTCCGTCAGCTGCCATCTTGGTGGTCTATCTGGACAAGGGACAAGATCTCCCAGTGAGTAGTCAGAAACCCCTTGGTATGGGATGTCTGATGTAACTGGCTCTGTTGTCATCTAGACAGGGCTGGTTGGATGCTTGGATGTGCATTTAAATTTCTAATCTCGTCTCACCACAAATCCTTAGGGTGTTTAAAAGCAGAATTAAATTTGATTTGTTGTTAAAAAAGAAAATATTGTAGAGAGTCAGATTCATTAAAGAAGAAAATAGTTAAAATGGCCTTCCCTTCTAACAAAAAACAATAGTTTTTTTTTTTAAGTAAATGATCATTCAAGAGAATTTGTCCCTTTCCTTTAGTATCTTCATAGAGATTTTGAAACACATTTGGCTGGATCATTTCCCACCTGATATCTTCTGATTCTCTTCCTTCCTGTACCCACTGACCAGTGTGGCTTTTGTTTTCAGGAATTTCACAATATCCAGCATAGAATTTTTGGAGGTCAAGAAGCGTCACCTCCTCCCTCACTTGGTAGAGGAAAAATTGACAGGATACAGCCCCTTATTTGAACTTAATTGATAAAATGGTTAGCAGCCAAGAGGTTAATCAACTGCACAGTCACTAGCTGAAGACTGTCTAGACTGTGAGAACCCTATCAACTACACTTAAAGGAAAAAATCTGAATTTTCTATACATGACTGACAAGGAGGTAGCTGATTTTATAGGGCCACAGCTCAAACAGCCCTGATCCCAAGTTCTAATCAAGCTCACCCTTGATTGGAAGGAATTTTATATTAGAGACAATAAGAAAGTTTCTTACTGGTTAATAAGTTTCAGAGATTGGCTGAATAGAGGTGGGAAAGGATCTGGAAACAATTTCCAGAGATACTTATAAAATAATGACCAGTATAACACAAAATTTGCAGCTTTCAATTTAAAAAATGCCATTATTAGGATTGCCTTTAGATGCAGAGTGATGTGTCTCTGTGTTGATATCCTTGCTATTGGAAAACAGAGTGAAAACCAGTTCAGTCTTAACTAACATGACTGTACTGTATTGGAGCTGTTCCTCATTGGCGCCATTCGACCAGTTTCAGTTCCTAAGGCAGAGCTACTGGTCCTCAGCACCCATTAGTCCATTTTCTGGCTAGTGCAGTAAGGTGGAAGCTAGGTGACTGGGGAGAGGGATGGCTCTGTGAGCTTCTACCCTTTGAAAGAGGGGGAAGTGAATTCCATCCCCATCCACTAAGGTGAAGAGTGCCTGCCACCATTCCTGGAAAACAAAAAAGATCTCTGTTTTAATGTTAGCCAAATGCGTGTGAGAGGGGCTTACCCTATCTTCTTATAAAGGACTTGCAGAGGTCCTGGAATGCCACCATGGACCTCCAGAGGTCCCTGAACCCCAGTCTGAGAAATGCTGATGTATGGTACACCCTACACGGAACCATTATATTTATCTTGAAATGGTTCACTATATTTATTCAAAAATTTGTCTTTAGTCTGGGACACCGGCTATTGTTAAGAAGTTGACTGCATGTGAAACTGACATGAAAACTTTATTCATTCATTCATTTATTAGATTCTAAGTCGCCACTCACCCAAAGGGTCTTGCGGCGACTTACAAAATTAAAACCAATAAGGTAAAAAAGAGAGAGAACAAATAACAAATATAAAATAGTAACATTAAAATATTAAATTATGACAATATATGGCCATCACCACACCACTATTAAAACAGTCCAAACACGTGGTTACCCTCCAAAGGCAAACCTAAACAATTCATCCTTGCATGCCTTGCGGAAACTAAACAAGTCCAACAGGGCAGGGGTGTCATCTGAGAGTGCATTCCACAGGGTAGGGGCCACACCTGAGAAGGCCCTTTCCCTGGTGACAGCTAAATGAACCATCCTGGAGCCAGGCACCTGCAAGAGATCCATAGACGATGACCAAAGGGAGCATGGGGGGTTGTAATGGGAGAGGTGGTCTCATAGGTACCTATGCCTGTTCATACTCTGACAGCTATGAGATTTAGCACTAGGAACAAAAATGGCAGTTTAATATCTACTAATAATCTATTAATTGAAGAGATTAACTTTCCCCCCCTTTCAATGTAACATAACGTGGACTTCATGGGGTGGGCATGGGAGGCACTTAAACATTTGGGAGACAATTCCGCTGATGCATTCAGAAATAGTAAGAAATGAGAAGTTACAGAGGAAATGGTTTGAAATATCAAGGAGTTGGAGAACCTGCTGAGGAGGAAAGTGAAACAAGAAATGTTGGCTGAAGATGTAACAAAAACAGTTAAATGGTTACTTTTTGTATAGAAAGATGTTTGGCGCTCAGTAGGAAATATTTTGAGATTAGAAACAGATCCAGGGAAATATTTAAGAGACTATTTTTGTTGATGTAGATACACTTTGCTTATAAAGAAAACAAGAAATAATATTTCTCTACCAGGAGATTAGGTTTTCCACTGAGTCCCTTATTGGTGCAAGATTTTACAAAAGAGGAAGTGGTCTCCCTTATTTATAGGGCAGTTCGAGACCCGGGTGCCGCTTGATGGAGTGAGCTCCCATCTCTAGTTCCAGCTCCTGCCAACCTAGCAGTTCGAAAGCAAGAAATTGCAAGTAGATAAATAGGTACCACTTCGGTGGGAAGGTAACAGCGTTCCGTGCGCCTTGGTGTTTAGTCATGCCAGCCACATGACCACATGTCTTTGGACAGCGCTGGCTCTTCGGCTTTGAAACGGAGATGAGCACAGCAACCCTAGAGTCGGATTTGACTGGCTTTCGAGCAAGGGAACCTTTACCTAACTTGTTAATGTTTATATTATTCCTGAATGATATTGTTTCTTGGCTGTTTCACAGTTGAAGCAATCCAGCAAGGAGCCCAATCCTGTAGTACAACTCTCTATCCAAGATGTCACTCTTGAGAGCAAGGTAAGGGATATCATGTATTTCATTCCCCCCTCCCCCCCAATTCTGCCTCTTCACTAAAGGGTGTGAAATATCTTACCAAAAAAAGGTGGGAGGTTTTACTAATTATTTGCTGAAACTCTCCAGTTGTAATTCTTTGCTGGGGATATGTAGGATAAACGGAGCTGGATTGGCGAGATGAAAGTGTGCAGAGAGTCTTGTCTCCTTCCCCTTCACCAGAGCATCATCCAGCATAATAACCCCTTGCTGCGTGTACTACTGGCAGGAAGGATTTAAGGCTGGCATGTAACCTTCTTCTAAGGACAGCAGCTTCTGAACAGCAGTTTCTTGCTGAGGGGGTGCCCTGCCAAAGTAACTTCTGGATACTTGGTGCTTGGATGACTGACAACCCACAGAAGTGGGTTCTATTTCTGTCCCTCTTTGAAGTATGCATTAGCAACTCACTGTCATTCTCTGGCCTCTCACTGTGCCAGGTTGTCTATAACACCGCCTCCCCCGTCTGGGATGACGCCTTCCGTTTCTTCCTGCAAAACCCAGCCAGAGAGGATATTGATATACAGGTAGGCTTCGCCCCCTTGCCTGAGCCCCATCTGTCTTTCTTCCCATGGAGGCACTAGCAAAAACTCTTGCTCCCCCTACAGGTCAAAGATGACAACCGCCAGACAACACTGGGCTCCCTCACTATCCCCCTGTCCCGCTTGTTGAGTGCCGATGATCTGACCCTTGACCAAGGGTTCCAGCTGGAGAACTCTGGGCCCAACAGCCGCATCTACATGAAACTCATTATGCGGGTAAAAGACTCTGGAGTTTCAGTGTTGCATTTAGGGACTGCCTCTGATTATGACAAGGTTGTTGCTGTTGGTGGCGGTCATGATAACTGAGACAACCTCTTCTTCTTTCCACCTGGCCCACTAATTTGTTCTCAAGGTACTTTATATAAAAGTCCAGGAAAATGCTTAAAATACATTTTAAACCTTTTTTAAAAGAAAAGGGAAAATGGAAGGGGCAGAGGAAGGGGCACACTACAGTTGCTTCTTCATGAGGGTGAGTCCCTGTTGTGTTCTCTTTTCCGCTGCAAATGCAGAAGCATTCACAGTGGGCAGTGGAGGATGCACAAGGGGAGATGGTGTGCAGTATCCCCTTATGCCTGCCATTCCCCCTGGCCTCACCCGTTGTTAAAAGAATTGGTAGCGGGTATATTGCTATAATGTAGTGATGCTGTATCTTTCCACTACCAGTGGGGGAAGCCAGCTGAAAGCTGGCCAGTTGGTAAGGAGATGAAATGCTGGACATGAGGGGAAACTGAGCTGCCTGTAGGGTAGGGAGAAATGGAAATCTGCTCCTTTCCAGCCACACAAATACAAGCTGAGTTCAATCTTCCTGGGGAGATTGTATCAAAGCAGGTTTGGGAGAACACACTGTGAAGCAGGAGAAAATCCAGAAGGTGACTAACTGCATGGTGTCACACAGAACACCCCCCCCATGCCAGTTTGGGGGGGGGAACATGGAGCAAAACCTCTGTGTGGAGGCAGCCTGAGATACATGCTGACTATGACGGCCGGGTCTCTTCCTCATCTGCCTCCTACCACTGCTTTATCATTAAGATGAGCTGCTTCCCCTCTGCACCAGAAGGGACCCCTTCTCTTGTGTGCTGCAAGAGATATTCAGATGCACCTTTTAGAAGTGGTGGAGCTCTCTTAGACTGGATCTATCTGATTATCTTGTGGCCGGGTTTGCAGCAGGGTTTCCTCTGCCAATGGGAAGGTGTTAGAGTCAACAGTATTGTGTTAGTCTTCCCTTCAGTGGACTGGTGCTTCTTAACCTGCCGGGTTTGCAGCAGGGTTTCCTCTGCCAACGGGAAGGTGTTAGAGTCAACAGTGTTGTGTTAGTCTTCCCTTCAGTGGACTACAAGATAAATTGGCTTTCTAACCTGATCCCATGCTGTACACGGCTATTTCTTTAGGTCTTATATCTTGATGCCCCTGAAGGTAGCTTCACCCCCCGGCCATGTCCTCCAGGACATCTGAATGTTACTGAGAGCTCCTATGTTGGCAGCAGCGTCGACAAGTCTCCTCGGCCACTCACAGCCAGTCCAGATGCCCAGTTTGGTACTGAGGTAAGGTCACGCCATGGAGAAGGTTGATATTTCCTGAGTCATTGGCTTGCTGGGTGAGATGCAGCACACATGGTAATGATAGGGATTGAGGACTGGAATCCCTGTGCTTTTGATTCACTAATTCAAATCTAAGTACAGACTGATCTTTAAAAAATAGATAAATTTAGAAAGAAGATAAATGTGTGGCTGTGATTAAGCCAGAATAAATATTAAAGAAGCATCATTATTAATCAGGTTAAAAATCAGAGTGGGATAGGGGACTTGCTTATTTACAGTCTCCAGTGTTACTTATTTTTTAAAAAGTAGATTATCTTTTGGTCAAAGCAATCACTAAACATTTTCATTTAAACTTTTTATCTTACTGGACAGTGCTACTTTCAGTAAGGACTTCCCTAGAGCTGGCATGTAGACATAAATAGCTTGCTATGAAAAAACAATATATGCTTTCTGTTGTCCTCTGGCTTACCTGACTGGATCAGGCCATCTAGTCCAACAGCCTGTCTCTAATAGTAGCCAGCCAGGGATCGAAGAGGTAGATCAGAAAAGCAAATTTCTCCCCTGTTGTTTGACCTTGGTATCTGATGTGCAAAGGTATATTGCCTCTCCACATGGTTTTATTAAAGTGTTGGGCTGGTGTCTGGGAGACATGGGTTCGAATTGCCACTTGTGCCATAGATGCTCACTGGGTCAAATCACATTTCATCCTCTCCCCACTTCTTTGCCAAAAAGACCTGTGTTGCTTTCTTAAACGTTTAGGCTGGCTTGGGAACCATGGGGGAAAAAATCCACTGATATATATGTAATGATAATTTCAGTTCTGTCAGGCATACTTGACCTCCCGCCATGTACTCTTGCCCTCAGAACGTGATTCGTATTCATCTTCTGGAGGCTGAGAACCTCATCGCCAAGGATAACTTCATGGGTGGGATGATCAAGGGCAAGTCGGACCCTTATGTCAAAGTGCGCTTAGGTGGCCAAAAGTTCCGCAGCCGTGTCATCAAAGAGGAGCTCAATCCCCGTTGGAGCGAGATCTATGAGGTGAGAATGCCCCTTCGGGGTTGGCTCTACGGGGCCCTCGCAGCCCTGGCTGATGGGAAATGGCTGGGTTTGGCAGGGAATAGTTTGAACAAGGCGGATTGTTTGCTCCCTACGTGCAAATGACTGTGCTTCAAAGAGGAATGATGCTGCACCTCGCACTGCGCTCAACCCCAAGATGCCTTTCTTGCAGCACAGATGGTACCGGTGGCAGAGTATTAGCCCAGCTAGCAAGGCATGTGTCCAAATGCATATAAAAATGGCAGATTGTGAAAAACCCAAAGTATACGTTTGCTCTGTTCAGGGATTCGTTTCTGTATAATGCAGCCGTTAGAGCCTAACTGCTGCTCTGCAAGACCAAATGTCTCTTTCTTCAGCCAAAATACAGATTTATCAAGCCGCATGTGTTGCGTAGGGTTCTCAATGACATTTATGTGCTCTAAAAAACAAACACTGTCACAATGCCTAAAAGATCCACTATAGTTCCATGTAACACCTCTCCCCCCGGGAAAAAGCAAGTATCAAACACACCGCTAAGTGAAATGTTCTTTTGAAATTGAACCATCAAATTGGGGTGGAAGCAGTTTTACTCATTTTTAAAAATTCATTCAGAAGTATTTTTAATTGATTAATCTACTGGGTTGATTCCAAAGGGGTAGCCATGTTAGCTGCCGCAAAACATAAACAGGCATTCAGTGGCACCTTTTATTTCAGCACAGGCTTTCATGGAGTAGAGCCTACTTCATTAGATCCCTGTACTGGGTATTCACTAGACTGACAGTAATCGACAAAATGCTGGAAGTCCTACCTGGAGTCCTTCTCTTCTCAAAGAGCTGGGGAACAGAATCCAGGCATCCAGATTCCTCACCTCTCCTTCCCATTGCTAGTCTAACACATTTGCTCTCCAAAGATGGAATCAAAACAAACAACAGTTAATTTTTACTCCTAATTTAGTGAGTCCCATCTTTGGCTATTGTACGCAACCTTATTTGTTTGCTTAAGGTATTTCTACCCTATCTTATCTCAGTGGACTCAAGGTGGCCAATAAGGCAGCGAAAAGTAAATAACTGTAAATCAGCATGATAAAAACAATGCAGTCAGTCTGCCAAAACAATTTATCCTCCACCGAATGCCCTTTGAAATAATACCATTTTTACATGCCTCCCTAAATACAGAATGTGCACCTACTCTAGTAAGCCATTCCAAAGGCATACCTATACTACAGGTCCTCCTGACTGTTGCCGTCCTAAGGGAGGACACCCTAAAGAGGAGGCTGTCTCTGAGTGCAGCTGGTATACAAGAGAGTATAGTGAGAGATGCAGTTGGATAAGTGTGCAGGTCCTGAGCCATGAAGGGCTTCAAATGTAATAACCAACACATTGAATTAGGCCCAGAGTGGATAGGTAACCAGCGCGGCTGATGCAGCACTGCAGTTATAGGTTCTAAAAGGCTCACCCCAGACCCTACTTTCTGTACCAGTTGAAGCTTCTGAGAAATCTTCCAGGGCATCCCCACATATCCACATGGGGATGGGCTTGCATGGCTTCCCTGTTGCTGGTACGGCTGCTGATAAAGCATAGTAGCAATGGGGCTTCCACATGGCAGGTTTCCCCACAGTTTCCCTGCCTCAGTCCCCCAGCAGCAGCTACCTGGTCATTGGGTTTTGTATAAAAACAACAACAACCATAGAATGTTATCCCAACATGTGTACCAGGTTCTCTAAATTCCCAGCATTCATTTAAAAAGGAAGTCTCTAGCCTTTCCCCTTATATCTTTGCAACACTAGATCACATTCTGTTTGCTCTGAATGCATGCTTAATTTGTGACGCTCTTTCGCACATCCTCCAGGTCATAGTGAATGATGTCCCAGGCCAGGAGGTGGAGTTTGACGTGTATGACAAAGATGTTGACAAAGATGACTTCCTGGGAAGGTTAGTTGGAAGTAAGGAGAAAACAGACGAAAGCCACAGAATGCAAACCTCTCTCCCTCTGAGTAGGGGGCAGAGGGAGGTACCTGGGTAACCTGAAGAGTCCATGGGCAGAGACTTAGGACAGAGCACCCCAGCTCCTTTTGCTGTTTTCTTAGCCATCATGAGCCCCCAGTTTTTGAGGTGATGGGGCTTCATTGTTCTGTGAAACAGCAAAATACAAGTGGCCTTATGTGTTCGAATTCATGTTATTTACTGTGTTACCTTTTGATAGGTGAAGTAAGATTTGACGAACATTAACCAAAAATGCCAAGAACCCAGCCGCCTTTCGGGTCATCCCTGTGCCCCATGGCACTGGGAGCAGGCTTAAGGCTGAATTCCCACCTGACTCAGGAATACTGTGCTGTCCAGACTTTACTTTTGACCATTAAAAGTAGCTGTGGGAGAGAAGGGAATGCTGAGTGGGGCCACGGCACTTCCTTCCGTGCTGCTTTCCCAGTTGGAAACACACACACCCCCAGCTACTTAAAGCCCTGTAATGGCGAAAGTATCTTTTCTACTTGCTTGGTTTTAAAATACCTGGAGAGTGGTTTTCATCTGGGAAATGGCATTGTGGTGAAGAATTAACTTCCCTTTCCCCCACCACTGTGACCCCAGCCTATCCCCCACCTTCCAGTCCCTAGTATCATATATAATTCAGCTCTTACTTCTTACTCAGCAGTATGATGGGATACTGGTCCGGTATGTTTTCCCTTCTTTCACCATAAAGGCTTCTTCTCCCCAAAAACAAAAATGGTGACAGTCCAGAGAAGGGAGATGGA